CCAAAATACAGTTTCAAAGCAAATTCATTCAGATACAAAACTTTAAATTCAGTTTCAAATCATTTAATTCAGTGTCAATTTTGTGAAATTTATTTTCAGACCAATGCATTCAATTTAAAATTATGCCCATTCAGATTCAATCTGAGCAATTCAAATTCAGTTCCTGCTGGCACAAGATTTATCCCATTAGCAACCACTGGGGAAAAAAATAAAACACTGAAATAAAAAATCATGACAAGGAGATTTAAACAAATTCAGTTCATGTTACTTGAAAAAAAACTACCTGTAGATACACAAATAAAAAATGTTACTTGTCACTGTCCAATAAATGTTTTTAACMACTTTATTAATATCCATCCAAACTTGTTTATTGAATCCCTGCTTGACTCCTTCAGCAGATTATCTTTGATCAGTTCATTGTCGCCATGGTCTCACCCTCTGTACCCACCAGATCATGCCYACAGTGAGGGAGGATTCAGGCTTTTTCTCCTGCCACGCCATCAACTCGTTTGGTGAAGACAGAGGAATCATCCAGCTCACGGTGCAAGGTAAAAGCTGCCTCAGAGTCAACACAGACTCACACAGATCACTTTGTTAAAGAGACTATGGATCCTTCCATCATAGTCTGTTCACAGTCTCTGGTGTCTTCATGCTTGTCAGCAGCCACTCATCTGGTTTCAAAGATCTAACTGATCTGGTTTGGCTGTGTTCACACTCTGAACACGGAGCAGAGGAACCAAGACCAGATCTGTCTGAGGAGGTTCATGTAAAACTAAAGGCTACAAGAYCATGTCCAAGCAGCTTCACGGTCCTCTGACCACRAGATTATTAACAAGTAGAAGGTTCAGGGGAGTGTGGACAACCTCCYAGGATGGGGACGCAAGAGGAAATGCCACCCCRTGCTGATCAGAAAGRCAGGGCAAGTGTTAGAACAACTGAACTTTGAGGTAAATGTGTGTCCTGATTGAACTATTTGTCACTTTTTGAATCCTAATGATGGAAGAAGAAGCAGGAGAGCTTCACTGCAGACAGAAAAACACTAAACATCCAGACAGRAGGTCAACAACACACATGGTGACRAGAASCAAAGTCTTTGCAAACAAAAACTGGAGCAGAAACCTGCTTGTTGTGGGTTTTTTTATTGTGAAATTGTAGCAACAAACTCATTTACATCTGTTTTCTAAGATGATATWTTTATTTTCTAAATGTTCACACTCATTTATTTTGCATGGTTATTGTTCCACGGTTAAATCAGCAGCACTAAAATAATGTGGTGGATGACGTTCCCTCTAGAACCACCAGATCCTCCAGAAGTGGAGATCCGAGAGGTGAAGGACAGAACCATAGCTCTGCGTTGGACCATGGGCTTCGATGGCAACAGCCCCATCACAGGCTTTGATATCGAGAGCAAAAACAAATCAGGTAGAAAGCTGTGAATCACCATTCATCTCCATTATTTCTTCTTCTTCTTCCTGCTAGTTTTGTCTACGTTATGTGATGTATGTTACYGCTCGATCTGTTTTTAGCATGTAGCATTTTGCTAAACTGATGACAGARTTTCAGTCTTTCATGTCCTGCAGTGTTTTATAGAAAAGGCAATGCTGTGGTGTGGATTTTTATTGCAGGAAAAAATGAAACGTAGATGAGATGAATTATAACACGACTGTATAGAAAACAGGTTTGTTTTAGCTCATAAATCTATTATATTAATCAGACTGTATATAATATTAAAACATCCTGATGCATCTCAGTAATCCAGGTAAAAAAAATCAAAAAGAAAAAAAA